TTTTTTCCCCTCCACAATGTCAAAAATGTCAGGTTTTACTATCCTTGTATGTACAATGTAATGTAGCATAAACCAGTACAGACACACACACACACACTTATTTAGTTATGTAAATGATGACATATTCTAATGTTTTCATAACTAACTAAAAGTAAGTTTTCTAAGTTAAAACCCCTTAACTGTCACCGTCCCACCTGTGGGACGCTTGGTTGGCGCTCTTTCTGTTGTTGTCCTTTTTCTCTATCAAATATTTGAAAGATTTTAAAATATATTTAGATTTACATAAACCCCCCCGTTCTATTTTTGTACTTATAGAACAACAGTTCAAAATAAGATATATATTTAGAATAAAATATTTAACTACATTGTTGTTTAGCAAAATGTGCATATATACATAGATATATTGGGGACCTGCAAAATATAAAACATTTAGCTTATTTTTGAGGTCAATTTTGTTGACAGCTAAATATAGATCACAGCAATATTTGATGTCAGTATTTTTAACTGAAAGTTTCCATTCTGTACAGATATCATTCTGGATGCAAGGGTGTAAATTCTTTACTGTTTAAACCTGACGCAAGAAAATCTGCCAAGAAGCTGAGCCGATAAAACAACAAAGAGCTTCCAGTGGGCGGCTTTCCACGGGCTAGAATGACTGACAGGAGAGCATGCATGACATCATGCTGGAAAAATGCACACTTTCAAGTGCTTTCACTTTCAGAGAGGAAATTCACACTCACAGTGAGCCCCAAACTAAACTATACACACAAACACGTCTCAAAGTCAGGCAAAACAGGATTTGAGAAGCTGCAAATCATGCACGTCTCAAAAACTAGAGAGCATTTTTGGCACAGTTTATGTTTTGAGAAGGCCTAGGCTGTTGACGTACTTTATTGATTGACAGGTCTTACTCAATGTCGGTCATGAGTGATCCGGGAAGTCTGATCTGGGCTGACAGGTGCTGCCAGTTCCTGGAAAGCAGCTACTGAGTGACTAATAACCAAACTCCGATTACGGTTTTCTGCAGAACTAAGTGATCTAGTGGTTTCAAATCAACAAAAGCAGCCTCACTATAACCGCCTGCACATCTGTGTTTGATATTCAACCAGAAGAGATTTTGATGATGCCAGCCTTTCCTTCGCAAAGCTAAAAACTCAGTGCTGTTACAATGTTGCCAAGACATTATTTAGTAGTTAAAAACCCTCGTTATTGTTTTATACATGTCTGTCTGTATAGATCAAACAATATTTTATCTATTAACTATAACTTCTATAACTAATTATATGATTGTTTTCTAATAATTGTATAATATATACTGTTCAGACGTTTGTGGTCAGAATGATTTTTTTCGGGAAGTCTGATCTGGGCTGACAGGTGCTGCCAGTTCCTGGAAAGCAGCTACTGAGTGACTAATAACCAAACTCCGATTACGGTTTTCTGCAGAACTAAGTGATCTAGTGGTTTCAAATCAACAAAAGCAGCCTCACTATAACCGCCTGCACATCTGTGTTTGATATTCAACCAGAAGAGATTTTGATGATGCCAGCCTTTCCTTCGCAAAGCTAAAAACTCAGTGCTGTTACAATGTTGCCAAGACATTATTTAGTAGTTAAAAACCCTCGTTATTGTTTTATACATGTCTGTCTGTATAGATCAAACAATATTTGATCTATTAACTATAACTTCTATAACTAATTATATGATTGTTTTCTAATAATTGTATAATATATACTGTTCAGACGTTTGTGGTCAGAATGATTTTTTAAAAGTTTTTGAAAGAAGTGTCTTATGCTCACCGTGACTTCATTTATTCCATCAAAAACACAGTAAAAACAGTAATATTGTGAAATATTATTATAATTTAAAAGAACTGTTTTTATTTGAATATACTTTCAAATGTCATTTATTCCTGTGATATAAAGCTGAATTTTCAGCATCAATACTCCAGTCTTCAGTGTCACACGATTCTTCAGAAATCATTCGGATTTGCTGCTCAACAAACATTTCTTATTATCAAAGTCAAAAACAAAGTTGTGTTGCTTAATATTTTGTGGAAACCGATACTTTTTTTGATTCTTTGATGAATGGAAAGTTCAAAAAGACATTTAAACATTTGTGGCAGTCACTTTTGATCAATTTAATGTATCCTTGCTAAAAGATTAACAATTAAATGAAAAAAATAAAAACCTTTTTTTTTTTGAATCTTTAATTTCTTAAAATAAATTAATAATAAAAATAATCTACTGACCCCAAACTTTCGTCAAAGTGGGTTTATAAGCAAGAAAATTTCAGACATTCAAAAATATTTTAAACAAAGGGATAAACAAAACAGACAGTAAAACTTTATTGAAGTCATAACACAAATTTAAAAAAACTATCCATAGGCTTCTTCACCAGCTGAATCGTAATGATCTCATCTTCTACAGAAAAGATCGAATTAAAAAGCTATATATAAAATCCAATGAAGAGGCGTGACTAAACGGAGTATGTGAATACAGCAGAGCATGAGGGTCTACTATCATTTAAACCTATATGTTTCCTAAAATAATATCTGCAAAAAAGCAGAATGGTTTAATTTTTGCGATTATGGTTGCAGAAATAGTTCCATCGGAGTTACCTAGAACTGAATTGCAATTTTAAATATAGCAATTAAAAACTCATTAACATCAGTGTTCTCCTGAAATGTGATCATCTTCGTGGTCATGCAGAGACTTGAGAAAAGTGCTCTCTAAAACGGTTCATGCAGAAGTCCTCAGACGTCCATGCTCTCTTTCGGAGAGCTGAGAGACTTCTCCAGCTGTGTCTCTGGCGTGGACAGGTGTTCCAGTTCATATCGGCCATTTTGGTCGGCCGGACGAACTTCTGTAGAGGTTTTCTTGTGCTCCAGGATCTGCTGAAGCTGATGGCTGGCATAATCAGGCTTGCTGGTGAGGGGACACTGTGGCACCTCGATGCCCAAGATATCTACCACCATATAGGGTCTGAGCCAGCCGACCAACGGCGTGCTGCCAGGGGTGTAGTGGGTCTCCTTGTGGTAGAAAAGAAGCCCGTCCACCTAGAAGAGAGGAATACAGTGCGAGTTCATCTACTGTATTCCAGGGCTCAAACGTACGAGAGTCTCACTCGCATATGCAACGAAAAACAGATGTGCGAACTATAAAATGTATTTAGGAGCAATTAAAAAAGTCCCTAAAAGTCTAAAATATAAAGTTTCTGCAGCTTTAAATAGGAAAGAAAGTAATACCATAATTAATTAGTGCCGTCAAACGATTAATCGCAATTAATCGCATCTAAAATAAAAAATAATTTTTAATGTAATGTGTGTGCACTGTGTATATTTGTTATGTATAGATAAATACACACACATGCATGTGTATATTTAAGAAAAATATGTTATGTTTATATATTAAATATATTTATAGAAAATAAGTTAAATTAATATAAATATATACATGTAAATATTTTCAAAATATATACTGTATGTGTGTATTTATATATACACATAATAAATATACACAACACAAATATATTATGTAAACAAAAACTTTTGGATGCGATTAATCGTTTGACAGCACTATAATCATTAAATACAGTTTGAAGCAGAAATATTTTAAAACAGTGTACTTTTCTAGTAAGTTACATAATTCTGCTAGTAAAAGCCCCCTTGTATCCAGCTTTATAGACTTAGCATGTCAAATAACAGACGTTCTTACTGTAAAGTTGTACTCATGTGCAAGAGCCGTCTGGATGGACTCTGTTGAACAGCTGATGTTGTTCAAACCCACAAACCGGAACTGCAGAGAGAGAGAACGGACCATGAACCAAGTACTTCAGCTCAAAGTTCAGCTTTGTTAACAGATGCAGCTATTTTGCTCACTTACAGGATTAATCTGAGAAATTTCAGAAAGACCTTCAACCTCTTCCACTTTAGACTGCAGCCAGTAGAACCGGAACTCTGTCTATAAAAATACATCAGTTTGTGCTTTTCATTGTAAGAAAGGAATTATGTGCAAACAAACTAGAATTTTAATACTGAAGCATTTATGAAAATTAATCCCACATGCAAAGTGGTAAGCCAGAACATACATTTACATACAATACCATTCAAAAGTTATTTTTGTGACGCAAAGCTGAAGTGATCCTTCAGAAATCATTCTAACATGCTGGTTTGCTGCTCAAGAAATATTTCTTATTATTAATGTCGAAAAACAGTTGTGGAAACGGATACTTTTTTCAGGATTCTTTGATAAAAAGAAAGTCCAAAGAACAACAATTTGAAATAGCAATCTTTTGTCATATTACATATGTCTTTACTGTCATTAAACCAACTGAATGTCTCCATGCTGAAAAAAAGTATTAATTTTCTTCAAAAAAACAACAACAAAAAATTGGCCCTAATTGAACAGCAATCATGATACATCTAACACTATATTAATGATTGTTTTGGTGCAACAAACATAAGTATATTTCAGAGAAATTAATTATATAAAATGGTCCAAAAGTGTAGAATATGTCTTTAAAGTTTATATAAATGTCATTAGAGGAAGTGATCGCTTACTGAGCAGTCATACACAGGATGTCCCCTCCAGCACATGACATCCAGGATGTAGTATGTTCTGTCCACATCACTGTAGATGCAGTCCAGGATGGTGTAATCTATATAAAACATATTTGTCACTTTATTTTCCGGTATGGTTCAGAACTGCAGTACTCTAGCACACTCTAGTGTGATGAATCTGTAGGACAGGTGCAGAGGTGCAGACCTTTCCCCAATGCAGAGTTGTGTCTGTTGCCGCCGGGAATAAGAGAAGGGAATCGATTGACACAGTAGCCACTTTTGGTGTAAGATGACGTGGATCCCTGAGGATAAAATAATAAACACGAAAATTTAACAGAAAATGATGCACCATATACATATAAGGTTTGGGGTTGTTAAGATGTTTAAATGTTTTTGAAAGAAGTGTCTCATGCTGACAAAGGCTAAATTTATTTGATCAAAAATTCAGTAAAAATGTAATATGTTTTTACAGTTTAAATAACAATTTTGTATTTTAAAATGTAATTTATTCCTGTGACGGATTTTTTGCATCATTACTCCCGTCTTCAGTGTCACATGATCCTTCAGAGAAATCATTCTAATATGCAGATTTGCTGTTCAAGAAACATTTCTGATTATTATCAGTGTTGGAAATGGTTGCGCTAATCAATATATTTATGGAAAACTGTAAAACGTTTAATTCAGGAAAGTATGATGAAATGAAAGTTCACGAGAACAGCACTTATGTGAAATTGAATCTTTTAACATTATAAATGATTTTACTGTGATCAATTTAATGCATCCTTTCAGAATAAAAGTATTAATTATTTAAAAACAAAATTCCTAAACCCAAACTTTTGAACATTAGTGCATGTCTGATCTCAAGATGTTCATGATGGATGGAAAAAATCCAAACCTTGGATGCGACAACGAGGGAACGCTTTCCAACTGGACAAACTACCATCAGCCAATCAGAGCTCAGATCTGCAGGGACGTCCACCAACCACTCTGACAGCATCAGCTGGAGAACAGAAATGTAACAGAAACATAAAATGTACAACTTTTCTTTTAAAATACTTTTAATTATGTTCACAGACAGCATTATAATGCATCACTTTTGTAGTATTTTTATTATAAAATATTTACATAAGTAATTTATACTCATACAAGTTATTAATAGTATCTTAATGACTCGGCATCAGTGTGCAAATGTCTGAAAGAAATCACCAACTACAAGTCACCATCCCCCAGCACTGTGGAGAATCAACAACTGGCAGACGATCTGAATGAGTTCTACTGCAGGTTTGAAAAAACACCCCACACCCGCCCTGAACACCTCTCCACACAACCATTCACACCTCCAGCAACCCCCCTCTCCCCCACACCTGCAATTCAGATCAGCGAAGACGAGGTGCGCCAGGTCTTCCGGAAGCAGAAAAGGAAAAAAGCACCAGGCCCAGATTGTGTTACACCAGTCTGTCTGAAATACTGTGCTGACCAGTTGGCCCCCATCTTCACACAGATCTTCAACAGATCACTGGAGCTGTGCGAAGTCCCTTCATGCTTCAAACGCTCCACCATCATCCCCGTCCCAAAGAAACCCAAAATTACTGGACTTAATGACTACAGACCTGTGGCTCTAACGTCTGTGGTCATGAAGTCTTTTGAAAGACTGGTGCTGGCCCACCTGAAGGACATCACTGGACCCTTGCTGGATCCTCTTCAGTTTGCCTACAGAGCAAACAGGTCTGTGGACGATGCAGTAAACATGGGACTGCATTATGTTCAGCAACATCTAGACAGACCAGGGACTTACAGTATGTGAGGATCCTGTTTGTGGACTTCAGCTCGGCCTTTAACACCATCATCCCAAACCTCCTCCTGCCCAAACTAACTCAGCTCTCCGTGCCCACCTCCGTCTGTCAGTGGATCAACAGCTTCCTGACAGACAGACAGCAGCTAGTGAGGCTGGGAAAATACACATCCAGCACCCGTACGATCAGCACTGGAGCTCCTCAGGGTTGTGTTCTCTCTCCACTGCTCTTCTCCCTGTACACCAACGACTGCACATCTAAAGACCCCTCTGTCAAGCTCCTGAAGTTTGCAGACGACACCACACTCATCGGCATCATTCAGGACGGTGACGAGTCTGCTTACAGACAGGAGGTTAAAGAGCTGGCTGTCTGGTGCAGTCTCAACAACCTCAACGTACGGTACTAAAGTACTGGGACGATTTTGCGTGAACCATTTTCCAGTACCATTTAAAGGGTTGCATTCGCACCGACAGTGTGTACTAAGTGTGTACTAAGAAGTGACATAAGCCGGTCGACAGCGACGTCATTTGTGCGCGGCGTTCAACAACAGAAACAAAGAAGAACAACATTAACAACAGGAGGATGGAGGACGCTGTGATCGGAGCTGTGATTTTGTTGTGTCTCGCGGGTTTCACAATAATGGACATGGAAAGTCGACGTATACGTAAAGAGAATGGAAAGGAGGACTAAGAATCTCCAAGGACAACTGGCAGTGCTACATTTGCTACAAGTGCCTGCACTTCAGCGTTCGTCCATCTTTCGCTGTTCTCCATACTTGCGAAATAAGTTGACATGCTTATAGTATGTTTACACCGCGTTTTAAATCATGGCGGGTGAGGGCGTTTTTGTACGCGTTTGGCCAATCAATGTCTACTTACGTCACGATTA